CAGGCTGGAAGGGGCATTTGCTCTGGCACCTGGTGCAGTTTTTCCTGCGTGTTTTCAGTAAAATTCCGGTTTGGACTGAGCTTTGACACCCGTGGCCGCATGGTGCCATTGGCTGGAGCAAGCACCCGTGTGTGTTGTGGTACGCGCACAGCAGCAGGACAGATTTACATTTCTTGTTTGCATTATTAGGCAGTCACACAAGTCCCACTTCGAGGACTAATCTCCTTTTCTTCTGCATTAGTTATTCCGGAATTATGTATAAAATGGAACTGTTACATATTTGAAACTTGGGGATTTATCATTTGGAGTTTTAAGGGACTTAGCATAGGATTCGAACCTCAAATACTCTTAAGTCAACTAGCAGCATTTGAAATTTTGATTTAGATCAGCTTAAGGACAAAATGCTTTATCAGTGATCTGTAAATTGCATTAGACACAACTCAAAACACTGAAAAACTTCCTTTTCAGCCCCTTGCCACTTCTTATAAGGAATTGCATAATATGAAATTGCCTAGCTCTCTGTTAACATCCTAGAGTAGCAGCCCAGAGCTTTCAAACCTGTGTGGCCAAAGGTAGGTATAAGCAAAGCTTACTTCAGTGCCCAGGGGTGGTTGTTTTAACGAGGGATGTTACAGCCATTCTGTGTGTCTGCAACTTGGGTCACTTTTAATGAGCCTGATTTTTACATCTGCTATGTCAACAGTGTTTGACGTGTAGACAATAAGAAGAATGTGTAATAAAATGAGAGTTCATTTCCTCAAATTATTTTAATGTTTTGTTTATATACAGATGCTTAAAGCTGTGTAACTGGAGCTAGTTAGCACCAGTGTTTTCCAGAGAAAGATGTGTGGTGTTTTTCTAGTGCCTGCAGTACCCCAGTAGATACGAAAAGGTGAATTTAAGATTATTAGAGCTGTCGGCAATGGAATGAAGAGGAAAAAATGGAGAAAAATTACCTGTCTTGCGACCTACTCTCCCCACTGACTGAGGAGTCTGTAACACCATGGTGTGGCTAGAGGAGTCAGCTAGCAGCCCATGAGCAGTAGTGCTGCCCGTGCCTCGCCGCCCAGCTGCATGGCCATAGGTGGGGGATAGGCTGGTCCATATGCTGCGGATGTGTAACCTGGTGCTGGAGTTTCGTGACAAGGAGGCTTCCCTTCCCTTCTTCCCACTGCTGGCAGCCCGCTATTTTGCTATTGTTCTTGCTCGTCTGCTCCGTCAGCCGTGTGCAGGTCCTGTGCGTCGCTTCTCTCCCACTCGGTCACTGCGTGCCTTGCCTTTCTACGTTGTGTCCCGTTTCGCCCTGTGTTCTCCCCAGGGTGTTCGATGTTCCTATCTCAGGAATTCCTGCCAAGTTCAGATCTTAGCATCTGTTCCCAACGTTATCCAGATGCTGTAATTTTAGGGTCTTTAAAGCCGTGACTTTTCTGATCCTGTGTTTCTCTGAGACCCAAGTAACCTGAAGGACAGATCTGATTGTGAAAGCGTTAATCTAATTGTTAAACAATAGTAAAGTCATTCTGGAAATGACACTTCTGACCATGAGACTTTTTGTAATAGCTGGTATGTGCCGAATGTCAATTAATTCATTCTGCCTGGGATGAAGTTACTTTTGTGTAGCTGTGGCTAGATGGAGCTGTCAGAATGCATAAGGCGGTTTGATTTATGTACAAAGGCTACACGCGTTAGACTTCCCTGGCATGCACTATTCGTTTTACCTACTTAGGGGGTTCAACGTTTATGCCCTTTCACTGTTTCAGCATAGGTGATATAATGCGTGGTAATTATTTTGGAAAGTAGAGAAATCATTTGGGATGCAACAATTAGGCACCGAGAGTGTGAAATAAGGTTTGCTTTCAGATTATCTTAAAGCAAGGACGTTTGAAAAAGTGATGAATGCGTAAATGTTTCTGATGAAATGTGGGGGTTTTCTGTATTTCTATGGGCAGAGTTGTTGTAATAAGTGACTGGTCTCCAGTGAGGCAGGTGGTTTAAAAGTGGTCTCGCACATCAGAAAAGGTGACCCCTAATGAAAACGTCAAGACTGTTCTCTTTAGAAGCTATGCTCTCTCTCGTTTTCAGTCTTTGCCTTTTAATATTAATTACTAGGATGTTTTAATTAAAAACAGATCTTGGAGATACTATCTGCTTCCTCTGTTTAGTCCTTTCAAATGTTAATCACTTTTGACAGCCTAATTTACCCAGCTACCTGTGTTACCCTTGTGCAGTCCTTCTGCTTTGTGTGGCGCCAGACTACAAACTGCACCCCAAAAGTATTTCCCAAAAGTTCATACAATCACAAAGATCAAGTCTGGGAGGAGACATACAAAGAAAGAAGAATTAAATGAAGACTTAATGAGGCAGTGAATCAGAAAAGCTATTTCAAGATGGCTGAAGCTTCCCAAGAAATGATTCTTACTGTAGAGGTAACCAGACCAGATCACTTCTGATTCTGATAGAAGACGTGTAGGGAGTGAGATTGGAGGTAGTGTTGGAGCCTATGGAGAGTTTCTGTCCAGTGGGATTGTGAAGAACACTTAAAAAGAGAGAAAAGGGATGGGGAAAAAAAAAAATCTGGCCCACCCCCTGAACTTAAAAAAACCCAAAGAACCTTAACCCTCCCAGTGGTCCTCATAGTCTCTGTGGTATTAACATTATCCCTTCTCGCCTTCCCACCCTTGGCCCCAGCTGTTTTCCCCTCTCCTCCGGAGGTGGCCATGCTTGTCCTTTGCCAGGCAAAGCACAGAAGGCTTCTTCAGGTTGCCTTCAGCAGTGGCTGTGGTTATGTTTTGCGTGAAATACTTTTAAACTGGAAATATTTTAAAACAGAATAGTAATTTTCTTAGTAGTCACAAATCAGCAGAGAATCACCAAATCTTACTGCAATGGAGTAAGCTCAATGGTATACCTAACTATGCCCTAAGTTTAGAAGCAGAGCGAGTGCTCCTTTGATTTGCTTTGATTGTGTTTTTCTGTGTAATTTACCAAGAAATGAAATTCAGCAACAAAGCCCTCCCAAACATGTGCTGATTCTCAAGGACTTCGATAGCCATGCCTCTCACAGCTACTGAAAAAGAAAAGCAACTTTTTGTTGTGCGGGCCCTCAGAGACTTCCATCCTTAATATGTTTAAGGGCATTTAAAAGGGAATGTTGTGTTCTGAAAAATTTGGGGATTTTGAATATACAGTAGTAAAAACTAAAGGGAACTATAAATGAATCAGAACCCCATTAGTTCACTGTGTACTACTGTGAAGCATTTATTTATTTGCAGGTTTAAAATAAATAATCTTTAGCTAGACAAGTCAAATAGCCTGTTTGTGTGATGTTCCTGAATGGAGCTTTTGGTAATCAGATTCCACACACGCTTTAACCTTGCGCAAAGTTTAATGAAAAATAGTTACTACTGAATATACTGTTTTGCCAGCTCAACAAAGGATGTTAAGTTCTGCATATTTTTGCATAATAAAGATGAGTGTTGACAGTGTAATGATCCATTTGGCACAGATAAAATCATGAATGATTTTAATAACCTTACAACAATATTTGAATTCACTATGAAATATAATATAGACACTTCAAACAGAGACAGGCCTGCTGCCCTGCTATGGAGTGCCAGCTACTTGTAACCTTAATTTTTCTTGGAGAGGAAAGAGGAGAAACAAAGAGACTAGAGCAGCCCAGAGGAGATGGGGAGGAATTAGGGCATCTATAGGATGGAAGGGATCTGTTTCAAAGTTTTCCATGCAGTCCTTGTCCACAGGTTGAAGCTGGTGGGTTTTGGCAGTGCTTGTATCTCCTTCCCCAGGCTGGGTGACATTTGTATTGTGTTGGAAAATACGTTCGTGGGTATGGGATGAGTCAAGGTAAAAAGTAAGAATGGTAGTGTATTCCCAAGTTCGGTGGCTTGAAGTGATTGTGCATACAAGTATGATTTCTTTTTTGAGTGTTTCATTTCTAAAGTGCTTTTTTGTATTCATCTAGGTGATATAGGTGCATCAGTTCCAGTTTCCACTGTGATTTAGGGAATTAATTTTCAAAATGAGTTCTGAAAATAAGGCCAGAGTCTTTGAAGCTTTCACACAAAATGATGTAGAAGTGTAATTCCATCAAAAGTACCTATTTATGTTCCTGTCTCTGGTTATAATGCTGGAGTGCTGCATCCCTACGTAGAGAGAGAGTGCTGTGCGGTGTTGGAGGCTTCTGTGCCAAGTAGTCAAGAATCTCAGACTGATGCAAACTCTCACTATTAGAGTGATATGAGAGATCTCCTTGGCTATTCATTTCTGCATTTCACAGAAACAAGCACTTGACTTCTGGTGAATATGTTTTGAAGATGAATGTGACAATATTCACCTGCTAGTTTCCTTCTGCAGTCCTAACTCCTTACTCTTCACTTCTGCCTGCTGCTTTTTTTATTATGTTTGTGTTTGTTTTCATAAACTTCTAGAGGTCAGATTTGAAAAATCACCAGGCAGCTTTTTAAAAGCAGAATTTAAAAAAACATCTGTGAATGATTTCTAATGATTTTGTGGGGACAAAAGAAGTGGGAGATGCCTTTCTGCAACCTTATCTGCCAAATTATTGTTGAAAATATGGCTCCACATGTTTTTGAGAAAGGTTTTGGCATTAGGAGCCCAGGTTTTAGTGGAAGTCCCTGGGGCTCAGTTACTGTTTTGTGGGAAATAAACACAGGCCCTATCTCCTGCCAGCAGATTGCGGTTTATGGTAGATGGCTATCCATCTGGATGTGGATGCAGTGGGCTGTATTTTCTTCATACAGAGATCACTGTAATCCTCTAGGTTGTAGAAAACCTGAAGGGGTTAGGTGGAACTGTAGTATTGCAGACTACAGATGTTATCTACACTTATCAAATGTTATCTAATGGGTGTCTTCTGCGTAAGACCAGAGCTTCTTATCTGGCGTAGGTTCGTGTCACAATTCTGCTGAGTCAAGTCCCCTCTGCCTGGGGGTTGCCACAGGAGGGGACAACCTCCAACAATGTCGCCGTACGTGTCGCTTGCCATCACTTGCCATCAGCCCTGTGCTGTTGGTCTACTACCTTTTATTGTCAGTTCCGTAAGGATAGCCCTAGTAGGCTCTAAGTGCCATTGTTTTCACCGTCCTTACATGTAAAAATAATATAAAAGGTTAGTCATGAGGGAACAATCAGTCATTTGCATTTAAGATTTTTGTTGAGCCTTATTTAAAGAAGGGGAGTCATGAATTATTACCTAATGTGCTATTAATTTTTGTCATTGTGCATGAAATGAAGAATATTGTTATTGTTGTTTTAAAATGCCAGAGGTAAATGTCTCTCTGACGATTTTAATATTAGATAATGAAGTTAGTTAAAAAAAATCCCTATCTCCTTGTTTTTAAGGCCTCTGGAAAGTTTCTTATGGGGAAAAAAGAAAGTGTTATACAAAAGACAAAAGGTACACAGAGTTTTTTGCCTTTTGAACAGACCTTGACGTTGATTTAAAATAAGCCTAATTTAATAGGTATTGTATTGCACACCGAAGATAATTTAGGCTAATGTCAAGGACAAGTGTTATCTATTCCTTTGTTGTAGTGAGGTATTGAAATAACGAGTGGAACAGAAGGGAATCAGAAAATGTTTGAAGTTTTTCATCTGTGTCTCTAGATGGGTATTTTTAATCACATTCTCCTGGCTTTTGCATGCAAATTACACTGAACAGCACACACTATATAAAATGAAGAGCTGTATTTTACAAAATCTATTTTCTTGAAGTTTAATAAGCTTGCAAAGATGTGCTGTGCTTTAACTAACTAGGTACCTTTTTGTACCTCAGATGAAATTAGAATCTTAGATTTTAAATGCCGCTGTTTTGATCCTGTAACAGAGGAATGGAAATCCTGGTCTTTTGGGAGGTTTCTGAAACCATGTTTTTCTTGGTACTCAAGGGCTGCAGCTCCCAATGACAGATGAGACAACTGTTAAGATTTAATACATCTTTATTTCAGCAATAGATCTTGCTGTGTGACACCAGCCCCTCTAATAACCCCAGTGTCTGGATTACTTACTGCATAGCGTCACTGCTTAACTGCTGACCTTTGTGGCAGAAATAAAATACCCAACTCTTGTATGGTCCATGCTGTTGACTTGGAAATCTGCTGACCTGCAGATTCATCCCATACCCACAAGCTCAGCTGCAATGGAGAACAATCAGGGTATCATTTTGAGCTTGTCCTCTTAGAAGAGGAAGCAGAATTTTATAGTGCACTCTAAAAAATGTAAAATTGCTTCCAAAGTAATATTAACAACATTGTCCTCAGTGTGGTTTGCCTATATTCATGTGTGCTGAGGGACCAAAATTGAAACTGGCTTATTCACATGCTTAGATGTGTCCTTGTTCCTTTCCAAGCATAGCACTCTCTCTTCTACTATGCTTTCTTTGCACACATCTTTAAAGCCTGGACAGATATATTTTTTCCCCTCTTTCTTTTCAAAATAAGCTAAGGAGATACCACGGTGAATCATATATTGTGGTAATTTTGCAGGGTATGTCCTTAGCCTTGAACGAGAGGGCTGTTTTTACAAAGGGATTTTGGAAGAAATCTTTTCCATATAAATTGAGGATTTAAGGAAATAACAGGGTAGCATTATACTCTATATGCTTTCAAAGGAAGAGTCGGTGAAGAAACAGCTCATTACAAAAATCCCGTGATAAAAAACCTGTGATTGAAAAACTTTCTTATTTAGGACAGAGATATTTCCTCAGCTCACAGCCCCAGCAAGGACAAAAATAGGCATTTTGGTACCTGCTGCATGGAGGGCAGCGGAGGAGAGCAAGCTTCTAAGTGTAGAGTCTTCATTTTTGCTGAGAAGCATCAGTGGCATCTGCATCCTTCTCTCATGTCTGTCAGTCTCATGAAACACCAACTTCTTTTACTTTCCTTTCTGCCAGCAATGCCTTCTGGCCATGCAGGACAGGGCTGCTGGGTTGTCTGTCTGTAGGAGATGGCAAATGGAGACGTTTTCTTTGGCCGTGGAAGTTAGCTGGTGATGAAGTTCACGATCCGGCTCTAGCGGACATGCAGTAGGTTCTGCCGGGTGAGCAGGTCAGAAAGTCTTTGCAGGATAACCAGTTTGTGCGTGCTCTGTGTGCACTTCTGTCTGTCAGGCCACACGCGTGGGCTGGCGGCTTGTTCAGTATGTGATGTAGAAGCAGTACGTCTGGTGTATTCAATGTCTGAGGTCATGAAAAAGCAGATCCAACCAACCTGACAGGCAGCTCAGTGGCGGCTACCTCTAGTAGCCTGCATAATACTTTTAACACTGCTCAGTTATTGTCTTATTTCTTGGTCTAAACCTCAGCCTGACTTAACCCATGGAGGTCAAGTATCGAGCAATTCAGACAGAACATAGACTAATTAATTTCCATGGTGCCGTAGTCATGCTTGCTTTTACTCCGTTGCTCAGCAAGAGAGGAGAAGGGAGACCAAGTCTTTTAAATATATGTAATATTAAACTAATATAGTTTACATATTTTAAAATTTGAAATATATTTAATAGTCTGTGAATTTACAGGATAGTACCTAAAACTGCATTTAATTCCTACTGGGAGAAGATTAGATTGCAATTAATAATATTGGCTCTAGAATTTCTCAGATCAAAGTGCCATAGGAAATGAATAATCAAAAGCAATGTTTTAATAAAAAGCTTGTATATTTACTTTGGAATAATTTCTTAGATTTAAAGAATCATGAAAGCAGAATATTTTTAAACTGTTTGTAAAATTAAAGTGTCCCTGAATCAACATATGAGTTCGGATCTTGCAGATACCATTTAACTTGGTATGTTGAGCTTTGAAAGTGAAGTGTGTACTCAGCCAGCAGATCTGAGAATTATTTTCAATGAGACCTACGATGAATTTTGCATCACTGGTTATTTTACATCATGGGGGCAGATTATGTTCAGGAAAGGCAAATGTGGAGTCCTGCTTATGGGTTGGCATAACCCCACGCAGCAGGATGGGCTGGGGGCCACTGCCTGGGTAGGAACACATCTGGTGGACAGCCTAGTGACCGTGAGTCAGCGATGTCTCCTTGTAATAAAGGAGAGCAGATCCATCCTAGGCTATATGAACATGAGCCGGCAGTGTGTGCTGGCAGCCCAGAAAGCCAACCATATCCTGGGCTGTATCCAGAGAAGTGTGGCCAGCAGATAGAGGGGGGTGATTCTGCCCCTCTACTCTGCTCTGGTGAGACCCCTCCTGGAGTGCTGCGTCCAGCTGTGGAGCCCTCAATATCAGAAGGATATTGACCACTTGGAGCAAGTCCAGAGGAGGGCCACGAAGATGATCAGAGGGCTGGAGCACCTCTGCTATGATGAAAGGCTGCGAGAATTGGGCTTGTTCAGCCTGGAGAAGAGGAGGCTCCGAGGAGACCTCATTGCAGCTTTCCAGTATCTGAAGGGGGCCTACAAGGGTACTGGGCGAGGACTTTTTACAAGGGCCTGTAGTGATAGGACAAGGGGTAATGGGTACAAATTGAAATCAGGGAGGTTTAGATTAGATATCAGGAAGAAATTCTTCCCAGAGAGGGTGGTGAGGCACTGGAACAGGTTGCCCAGAGAAGCTGTGGATGCCCCATCCCTGGAAGTGTCCAAGGCCAGGCTGGATGAGGCTTTGAGCAACCTGGTCTAGTGCAAGGTGTCCCTGCCCATGGCAGGGGGGTTGGAACTAGATGATCTTTAAGGTCCCTTCCAACCCAAACCATTCTGTGATTCTATGATTCTGTATTAGCAAGCCTCTAGCCAGCAAGCTGAGAGGAGTGACTGTTTCTCTCTTCTGGAGAATTCTGGCTGCCTCAATAGAAGCAAGACCATGGTGCCATCAGTTAGGGAGCTGGAGACCGTGACAGGGTAAGGGTGGCCGTTGGCGGTGCTGTATACCTAAGGCACAAGATTCTTGTCAGGTATGGTGAGGGTGGAGCTATGCTTTTCTCCGAGCTGCACAGGGGTAGTGCGAGGGACAACGGATGCAAGTTGCAACAAGGGAAATCTCAACTTGATATATAGAAAAAAAATCTTAAACTCAAGAGTGGTCATACACTGGGAGAGACTGCCTGGAGAGGCTATGGAGTCTCCGTCCTCGGGGTTATTCAGAATGCAACTAGATGTGGCTCTGAGCAACCACCTCTCACTGACCCTGGCTTGAGCAGGGGCTTGGACTAGATGATCTCCAGAAGTTTCTTCCAGGTCAGGTGATTCTGTGAGAGGTTATGTTTCTATATAATCCTCAGAAGATTAATACAGAATGTTAATTTGATAGTAGAATGTGATCCTTAAAATGTCTTGTTTATTTTTCTAAAAACAATAATGCCGTAAATTTGTTAGGAGAATGTTGCTTGTTTGGATCCCTTCTAGCTACATTACTTTGAAAAGCAGTTATGAAAAGCCTACCTCTGGCTTCATGACTGAAGTTAATTAATTAGGACAGGGAAAGATTTTCTTGAAATTACAAAGGTTTGTTGTTTCTGTTACAGTTTGTATAAAATTGAAACTGCACTTGCATTTTTTTTCTATTTAAAATGTGGGGTAATCTGTATGTCTGCTGAGGAGACACTCAAGTTGCACATATAGCAAGCACATAATGCGTCTTAGATGCTCCTATTTTTGCTAATTGATTTTTTTAAATGTATGTGGACAGGAGTGCATTATTTGTGAAAATGTCCATTTTTTTTCTATAGTTCTTCTTACCAGTTCATTGAAACAGTAGTTACATTTAAATGGGTTTTTAATGAGCCATGTAGGAAAGTGAAGCTCAAGGAATAATAAATATTTGGGTCTGCCATGGGGCTATTAAAGCCACTTCACTCATCAGAAAACCTACAAATTGATTTTGTATTTAGTTTCTATCATATCAAAATAATAATTGGCTACATCTCTGCTAATTATGTTCCCAATTGCATGGGGTTTTTTCCTCTTACCGGTTCATTCACAAGCAACTTGTATTTCAGGATATTTTGGACTCTGAGGTGCCATGAGCTGAAATCCGATTTACTGCTGGGCCTTACTAAACAAGTACGCATTAGGTCTGCATTGTAACATG